AGACCATGAAGAGATAAAAGAAGCAGTGACTAGAGTATCAATATGCTGGAGTTACGATATGATATGCAAAGGGTTTATGTAATTCTGTAAACTTGATGAACAAACCCTAAATAATTGGAAGTGTTAATAGAGCTCTCTATGTCCAATCTGAATGGTGACTAGTGTAAATGCATGATGCACAAAAGTGGTTCAAAAATATGTTAAACTTGTGAATCAAAATTGAGTCATTGGAGGGTTGATATAAAATGATGATAAATTTGCATCATCTGTGCAAACATGCAAAGTTTTCATTGAGCTGCTGGGCTGAACAAAAACTGATTCACTAAAATTGTTTGAAAATTTTGAAATTTTTAAACAAATTATCAGTAATATAATAACCTTTTCCAATTCCGATCAATACCAATTATTCCATAACCCACAACCTTATTTTTCGGTTGGCTTGTTTTTTTTAACTACTTACACTGAACTATCTGTCATAGACATGTTATCGGACTCAGTCCTGGCATCAGAATGACTACTTAGCGAATGCAGCTCGCTATCTTGCCTCGAAACAGGATTATAGGAATTATAGGCAGCATGAGCACCACTGGTCAGTCCACGGTACAAGATCATACTATACAATCACACATAAACCAAACAAAAATCAAAATAAATTAAATGAAACAAGAGTAGAAAATGCCAAGGAATTATAAATATAGAAATAGATTATAGAAGTGAACCGCAGTGATCCACTACATGGCCCGTTGTATTTAAGGCAAAACAAATATTTAAATATAATTCCTTGACATTTTTAGATAGGAAATTAAAAAAAATAACAGGAAAAAAATACTAAGAATTCATCGCTAAGGGTGTAAAGCCTCAAAAGCGACATGACAAAATAAAATAACTCCAATTGTCTTACCTAGCGAAAGTTTCTGATTTTGGTCTTAAATCTACTGCTCTATGTTTTTGAGATATTAACAAGAGGTCCTTTGTCAAACGGACCGGAGGTCCTCCAACATTGATATTCGGAGTGTGGTAGCCCGTACTGACACCTACAATTAAAAACCGTTAGTTTGATAGACACCCTTCTATATTTTTAGTATGCTTACCAGAAGCATGACTTAAATGAACTGGAGGATTCATAATCAGTTCCATATCTTCATGTAAAGTCGGCAAAGGATCCGGTCCATTTGTTAAATTTGAAAATTCATTGCCAAAATCGCTGCTACTACTGCTGAGATTTTGGACATTCTGAAAAATAACAATTTGGATATTTATTATTAAGTAATTCATTTATTATGTTGGGTTATACATCAGCAAATATATAAATAAACTGACGACATAAATCTATAATCTTTTGAGGAAAACGTAAATGGTAAGTATTTTTTGTAAATTAATTTTGTTTTTACCTCTAAATATTGCAGGTACATATCACTTTTAAGGAAGTTGGGGTAAGTGGTTTCATCTATAAGCTGCTCAACAATAGCTTGTGCTTTGTCAAACAATGTTACAGGAGGCTCAAGGCACTGGGAAGATTTAATATTTTTTCCAATCTCTTTCCTCAGCTCGTCGTCAATTGGAAGAGCAGATTTAACGAAAAATTTCCTAAAAAGAAAAATATGTTTTTTATTCATCTTTACTTAATTATATTGCTCTTTGTTTTAAATGCCATACAATAGTTGCAAGGAGTTCCTACCTATAAATAACTTTAACCAATTGGTGAATTTTTTCTGTTGCGGTCTGTTTGCGGAGTCCTTCGCAGGCAAACCAGAAATCCAAGGTATCTGCATGATGCTGGCCCTCAGACTCCAAATACTGATGGAAGAGTTTGACACCATCGGGGTCCTGGAGCAAAGAATGCAAGGAGTTGGCCCATTTGAGACAGGCCGGTGGGGGAGAATTTTCACTGGAAGTACAGTTCTTGGAAGAAGATCGCGAATTTGATCTGCAACTACCTTCTGGTTCATAACCACAGGGTGCGGGCGGGGATTCTGAAAACATAAAATGATGAGACCTATTGCATTTCCATTATTTATTAATTTTTTACCATTTGCATAACTATAGTATTTTCTAGGTGGTGATGAGGAAGACTTGTGTTTGATCCAGTCCATCTGTGAAGGGGTTGGTTGCCAATCTGACAAGAAATGGCTCCTTTCCTCTCCAGGTATTGGAGGCCTGGGAGCCTTATGATCAAAACCGGCTTCATGGAGGCGTTGTTGTTGTTGATGCTGTTGCTTTTGCTTGCCAAGAAATCTGCTTCTGCTCTCACGTTCACTCATGATGATGAGGGCCCTAGTCTAAGGCCCCTTTTCGTGCTGACGCCGGTCCTCGATATGACAATTTTAGAGAATCGTTGCCTCATGGTTAGCCCTGAAAATAAAAAGATACTTCAAAATGGGTTCAAAAATAATAAAAATAAGTTTGATTCACAATGTTACAAAATCTCACAATTATTTAATTTTCTAAAACAAATTAAATAAATGAATTGCCAATTATATTCAACCGAGTCATGTTTTTATAATTTATATAAATACCACCATATTTTAAGGTAAATATTTTTCTAATTGTATATTTTTAATGTGTATGTCTTAGATGTATTTTTTTCGTATTCTGTACTTATATTTATTCAAATTTAATATTTTTGATTCCTGTATGACTTATCCTACATCATGTAATATGATCTTAAAGAACAAACAAACTATTATTTTTTTATTATATCATATGGAGTATCCCTTTAAAACATTTTTTCTTCCTTGTTTCCAAAATCTTGGTTTGTAATACTAATCTACATCAACAATTAATTTGTTTAAACATTTATTAAACATATTTTGAATTAAAATATATTTTAGATGCAGGTTAACCTTTATAAATGCTATTTTGTAATTTAAATCTCAACAAAAAACATAATTTCTAAGAACAATTATTTGTTATTAATTTAATTTTTAATAACTTTTTTAAATTTGGCTGTAAACTATAATAAAAAACAGCTCATATTAAATTAATTCACAAAACAAGCTTCTTATTGTTATGTATCAAGAGAAGCTTGGGGTGTGGTATAAATTCGAGGAGTGATCGATATACACCAAGCCACTCAACAAAGAAAAACCGTTTATACTACCCTCTAGCTTATTTCTTTAATGAAATATAATTGGAATTATGAAATCATTTTTAATAAATACATCATACACAAACAAATATGAATCTCAGGTAAAAAAACTACAGCATATCAAATTTCATATGCCTTTTATTCGAGCATTCGAAACTCACTCAAGTAGAAAATATTAATATGACTAGTACAATGGGTATATAGGTAAATATTATTACAATGAAAAGGGAATTATCTACTTAGGAGATATCATGCACATCAAAAAAAGGGATTCAACATTACAACAATTAAAAAACTATGTTCTGTTCACTCTTCGAACACAATTGAATTGGTACGTGCATCATTCGAAAAACCTACCCCATATCGAAAAATAATAACTACACTCAATAAAGCCTTCAAATAGAACAAACAACTGGAGGTTATTATGTTTTTTAGAATTATTATATTAATTTGGGGTATTATGGACTGCAACCGTTATGATAGACATTCGGATGAAGAGTATGGGTACAGAACGCCGAAGTAAAAATTTCTTCGATCGAAGGGATGATTCATAGTAGTGGGGAATAAATACTTTTTTATGTGAATGCATTTGATCAATGCCCTGATCTTAATTAAACAACCCCCAAATATACTTTCTGGATAGACAATCACCATTTATATTTATAATGTCTTTTTACATTATTTACAAGTTTATAATTTATTTTTTAGGAATTTACACTTTATTATTTTTGTTAATTACAGATCAATTAATTTAAATAATAACCTCTCAAAATTCAAAACTCTTCTATAAAATAGAAGTTTGTGTTTAAACATTTTAGAGGTAGTTGTTTTGATGTATTATGGAAGTTTATTGAACACATTAAGCCCTAATTTGTTAGGCATGAGAAAATGATTCCCATTCTTGATGTTTAAGTTGTGAATTTCACTAATTAGGAGACATCCTTGTTTGTGTAAATTTGTACACATAGTTGGAAAATAGATAATTACAGAAATGTATTTTTTTTTAAATGGTTTGCAGTGCTATGTATATTATTGTTTGTGACACAAATACATTCTTAGCATGAGATGACAAACAGCATAGGAAACGTCCATATCTGATTTTGGAGTCAATATGCCCATGATAAACATAAGCATAAGGTTATTATCAGTTACTTGTAATGTATTATGAATATTCAAAAAATTAAATATATAGAGACAAATAATATTTTTATTGTCATACAAACACAAGAAAAACAAATATATATAAAAAAATGTAAACATTTTAAAAATTAAATATAAATAAAAACATAAAAAAGTATTTATTTATAAATATTTATAAATTATTTGACATAGTTATCTTGATACAATTGATGTCTACTAAGCATGAAAATGATTCATGAAATTAAATTTACTGAGGGTGTTCAAGTTCTTAATAGATAAGGGTAATTAATTTTATTGTAATCTATTAATGTTTGCATACATATATTGAGTTTTATTTTAAAATACAAATAAAAATGTATAAATAAGAAAATAAAAGTAATTAATCACAGTGTCATATGATTTCATTATTTGAATAAGTTAAAAGAAAGTAATGAAGAGTTAAATTTATCAATGTTATTATTATTTGTCCCAATGCAAAATTTGTTGATGAAAAACTTTATTAAAAAATCAGCATTTCTTATATTACTGGGAAAAAGGAAAGCTTATATTTTATTAAAAAATGAAAGACCTAATTGAAATATTAAATAAAATCTCATTGTACATTATAGTAATTTTGATAAAATGTTAAAACTTTGATATATTATATTTTGGACTGCTATATAAAGTAGTATTAATTTATTGGTGATATCAGATTATGTTATACATTATAAGTCCAATTAAGAGACAATAACATGTACATGTGATGATAAAAAATGTTTCTACAGTAGACCATGAACCACAAAGACAAAGATATAACAAACAAGATATGAATCATGCCTGTGACAACTACATAATCAAAACAGTCATTTAAAAAGGCAGAAGAGTTGTAATATTCTACATGCCTAACTTTTCCACGGCCTATTTTAAAAACATGTTTTGATCACTCCTTATAAATCATATTATACCTAATAATTATATTTGCAGTAAGGTAGGTACATTTAATAATTTTGGTTTATTTCTATTTTAGCCTAAATGAGTTGAAAAAAATAGGGGAACTGAGGTGATATTTAATCCCTTAAGTAATAGCAGGGTTAAATCAAGCCCCTAAGCAATATACTTATTGCAACTCTTAAAAATAGAACTAGACCATAAGTTTTATCTGAATAGTTTTCGTTGTGATAGTTGGGTTTGTTTTGGTTTGTTCAAAATTATATTGCAAACCTTCCAAAAATTAGAACAGACCAAACCACAGAACAAAAACAATAGTCAACTAGTCCTCGGATATTTTCAACATATTTTTGAAAAACCAAAACAAGTCATAAGTGTAATGTGTTCCAAAAATATCTGAGTAGATGTCACAGACTCACAAAGTAGTGAAAAATCGATTGAAGAATCATAGCAGATTCCTATAAATAGTTTGCGTCTATCAAATTTGACTTGAAATACAATACAATAGATGTCGCTGTTGCATTTTTGGAAAATAAGAGTAAATTTTCGTAAAAAATAATTGTATTATGTATTATATACCATAGTTGTACGCGCGAAAAGTTCGGATGTGTATTTTTCTGAAATCTTTGTAGGTACTAAGAAATTTCAGGAAAGTTATTTTTTACTCAGGGGAAACAATATAGTAGAGGCCTGGTATTAAAAAAATAGCGCTAAGATTGTTATTAATCAAAGATTAAAGCATGAGTAAGGCAAACGAATTTATGTAATTAATAATAAACGAAAAAAAAAATATTACTTACTATTGCACGTAGTAACGATATATGGCTTGTATACTAGCCCTACTAATGGCGTGATAATTTTCCTCATTGCATATGAAGCAATTATGAAAATTGAAAACTCCATTATAAGTAACGCAAACGGAAACTCAGGATGTCCCCAACTGCTAGTTCAAAACCACCTACAAAAAGTTAATGGACTTGATGAAAATCTTGTACGGGAAATGGTACGGATGTAGAAATTTTTCTCTGAAAGTTCTGTAGATAACGTTTTTAGAACCATCAACCATTCTAGTTACGCATTTTGAATTAACTGCTGATATCTGCGACGATATCTAAATAATTGTCATCCACTAGACCCGCACTATAATTCCTTTTTTTTTAGATACACTATTCCCCGTTTATAAAATAAGACACAAAACTTCGTACATTCAGATGTTTCCTTTCCCAATACGGCCAAACAGCCTCCCGGATACATAACTATCACATAGGAGTTTCACACCATAAACAATAAAAATGTGATATTTTCAAATATCTAAAACAAAGCCGAGACAACTAAACCAAAACGTTTGTACTACTTTGTACCTTCACAGGGCACTATTTACTCTAACGGCCCCGAGGACAAATTACCTAATCCTAATATAGGTACGTGCGCAGTTGCCAAGCTAAAGAATACCTGCCCAAGAAGCGAATCTCAATGTGTCCCTGTATGTACCTAAATTTCAGTGACAATCGAGTATTATTCCCGCTAATACACTGGAAAAATGATAAAAATTCCAACCAAATTGTGTCGTTTGGTTTATTACAATATGAAGTACAAAGTTAAACTAAGAAAACAAATTCTTATTAGGTGAAAATGGACGGTTTTCTTGTATAAATATATAAAACAGTTTTGTTTCATAAAGGTACTAAAATAGAAATACGTATAATGGTTGGATTCACAAAAGTTCATTAAAAAAAAAAAAAAATGTTGATATTAATTTTAAAACATCGATCAATTTGGTTTCATTTAAGCCACCTCGTAGAAATAAATGAGAAAAGGAAGCGACACTCTTGCAAGAGATCCAAAGATGTACATTTAAATTTTCGCCACCTTGTATATACACAAGTTTATTTTAATAAATATATATCTGTGTTGCGTAGGAGGCATTTTAATTTAGGTTTGGTGAGATCGTACGACAGGTCAACTCATCTTCATTCTATATAATAAGCTTTAGCTAAGAAAAGTATTTTATTATATTTTAATATGTTTTCGAATGTAATACAAGTGTATTGAAGATTATCAAAATTCCTTCGATTTTGGAAAACAAATAATAGTGGGCGATTGAGGTTTCCTAAAGCAACAAGCAACATTTTTTTTTTTTTTTTTGAAAAAGAAGGGATTTTTGATATAAATTACACGAGTAGTATCTGTTAAGATT